AAAGAGGTCGATATCATGAGAGTTCGGATGCATGTATAGAATGTTACTGATCGGCAAGCAAGTATGCACTCAACGTCATCCTTTTCACTGGGTCCTGACAGTTATATCTTTACAGTTATGCATCGATAGCCTACAGGTTTATGTTTCCAGATAAATACATTCACTGTTAATGCTCGATATAACTTAATTACCCGAGTGACGTGGCCCACTCGACACCCATCCCAACTAGTCTGCGAAATGTCGCATAGACTGGCATGCCTGTAATTTCGCAAAAAAAAAAAAATAAGTCTAGGCAGAGAAACAAGCGAATGTGAACTGAATTTGGCGCCAGCAAAGCATGTGCCTACGAACTGGCGATCCTTTTGAAAATTGTAAGAACTTGGCCCCACCACATAAAATTCACTTTGCATTAGTGTTCACATCGAGAGCCAGAATGTTGGTAAGTATAAGCCTACATGTGCTCAGACAACGTGGACACGGACCTGTCATGATCGGTCCAACCAAGTCGGCTATGCCATTAAAGAAAAAGCACATGCCAATGCCCGTGCCAATGTTGTCGTTGCCGACGCATTGACGGACAACTACGGAGGTGGTGGCCTGCGTCACCCCCGTGAAGAAGCCCATCAGGCAGCTGGAGGCTACGAAGCTCCAGACGATTTCGAGTTGGGTCAGCAAAGTGGCCCCGCTACAAAAGAGCAGCGCCGCAGCGAACACCTTGACGCTGGAGAATTTCCAGTTGATCAAGACGCCGCTGATCAGACGCCCGAAGATGCTGGTGATTCCCAGCACGCTGACCACCAGCGAAGAGGCCTGGTCGGATATACCGACAGCCGATGCCCGGGGGAATATAAAGACGAGGTAGCAAATGTATGGCATTGTGGCCAAAATATTGATCCAACAGAAAAACGTAAAACTCCAGTTGCGCAACAAGTGCAGACCAAGCGACTTGGCAACGGGCGAAAGAAGTGCACATGCACAACGATGCCTCCGTTGGACATGAGGTTGACATATCGTTACTTCATCTTCGTTCTCTGTTTGATTCTGTTGTTGCATGGCAATTGCTTCGTTGCCTGAGCGTTCCGATTGTTCATTGTTATTTTTAGAGGAGTGCAGCGGGCGGAAGAGGGCACCACCGACGCAGATATTGCACGTGATCCCTGCCATGATAACCAATGTTCCTCTCCATCCATAAGAATCCAATAAGAGTTGTAAGAGAGGCGGGAACGCGACCAATCCTATCCCAATGCCAGAGCTCGCCACGCCATTGGCGGCTTTGTAGTACTTTTTGAAGTAAATCGCCACCACAACTAATCCGGCAACAAACCCAAGTCCTATACCGAATCCTGCAATGAAACAAAACACATGTTAAGGTCTCGAAGAAATCCAAA